CACCATTCCACTTCCACTTACACCTTTTCTCTTCTACTTTCACTATTCGACTTTCACGACAATGGAAATGGAATTATGAAAGTGGAAAGTGAAAGTAGAAAAGGAAAAGTGGAAGTAGAAGGGTGAAAGTGGAAATGGAATGGTGGAAGTGAAATTGTAAATGTTGGAATAGAATAGTGAAAGTGAAATGATGAAAATGGAAGTGAAAGTAGAAAGGTGAAAGTGGAATTATGAAAATGGAAGTGAAAGTAAAAGTGGAAGTAGAAGGGTGAAAGTGGAAATGGAATGGTGGAAGTGGAATTGTAAAAGTTGGAATAAAATAGTGAAAGTGAAATGATGAAAATGGAAGTGAAAGTAGAAAGGTGAAAGTGGAATTATGATAATGGAAGTGAAAGTAAAAGTGGAAGTAGAAGGGTGAAAGTGGAAATGGAATGGTGGAAGTGGAATTGTAAAAGTTGGAATAAAATAGTGAAAGTGAAATGATGAAAATGGAAGTGAAAGTAGAAAGGTGAAAGTGGAATTATGATAATGGAAGTGAAAGTAAAAGTGGAAGTAGAAGGGTGAAAGTGGAAATGGAATGGTGGAAGTGGAATTGTAAAAGTTGGAATAAAATAGTGAAAGTGAAATGATGAAAATGGAAGTGAAAGTAGAAAGGTGAAAGTGGAATTATGAAAATGGAAGTGAAAGTAAAAGTGGAAGTAGAAGGGTGAAAGTGGAAATGGAGTGGTGGAAGTGAAATTGTAAAAGTTGGAATAGAATAGTGAAAGTAGAAAGGTGAAAGTGGAATTATGAAAATGGAAGTGAAAGTAAAAGTGGAAGTAGAAGGGTGAAAGTGGAAATGGAATGGTGGAAGTGAAATTGTAAAAGTTGGAATAGAATAGTGAAAGTGAAATGATGAAAATGGAAGTGAAAGTAGAAAGGTGAAAGTGGAATTATGAAAATAGAAGTGAAAGTAAAAGTGGAAGTAGAAGGGTGAATATCGAATGATGAAAATGGAAGTGGAAGTAGAAATGTGAAAGTGGAATTATGAAAATGGAAGTGAAAGTAAAAGTGGAAGTAGAAGGGTGAAAGTGGAAATGGAATGGTGGAAGTGAAATTGTAAAAGTTGGAATAGAATAGTGAAAGTGAAATGATGAAAATGGAAGTGAAAGTAGAAAGGTGAAAGTGGAATTATGAAAATGGAAGTGAAAGTAAAAGTGGAAGTAGAAGGGTGAATGTCGAATGATGAAAATAAAAGTGGAATTAGAAATGTGAAAGTGGAATTATGAAAATGGAAATGAAAGTAGAAATAAAATGGTGGGAAAATAATAATGAAGTAGAATTTTATTTCCTTAATTAAATTTCCACCATTAAAAGTGGAATTTTAATGGTAAAAGGTGGAATTTTTTAATTCCTATAATTTAATATCTTTAAACAAAAATTTTAAATTTCAATGTCTGAATTTCTGTCCAAAACTGAATTTTTTTTACAGCTCACAAGAAAATTATTGACTCACAAAAGTAACAATAGGTGTATTGTCAGGTTTCTCTCTCTTTTTTTTATCCCCAAAACAAATATTTGCTTCTATATATATATAGGTGAAAGCAAAAAAAAGTTTTTAGTGTATATAGCGCCTATAAAAAAGCGGAATATATATACGAAACGTGCACCGGGAAAATAAACAGTCTTAAGGTGTGAAGGGAAATGTGAAGTGTGTCTCGTGACGGATTCGCAATTCAATATGAGTGCAACCAATGTCCTCGAGACGTTATACCTTATCCATAAACTTCCAAGTATAAGTAAAGAATATTGCTTCCTTATATCTAGCGGATTGGAATTTTATCACAAGTTGAGAGCAAAGGAAAGGTAAAAGAAAAAAAAAAGGAACAACAAAAAAAATACCATCACCATATACCGAAAAAAAATTCTAAGATTAATTCTTCTTTTTTTTTGCACAAGAAACATTAATCGACTTTGGAAAAAAAAAATTCGTATTTTTCTATCTGCTTATATAAATTTTCGAATCTCTTTGACTCAATGGAAAAATCGTGCCTCGACCTATTGGCACGAACGTGGATAAAGAATAATGCATATAAGACTACTTTTCGAGAGAATGAGAGAGAGGGAGATAGAGGAAAAAGAATTCTCACTCGATGCATTGTCTTTTCTGTTTTTCTTTCTTATTCTTCCTATTCTTTTGGAATTCGTTTTCCCTCGAAGGCGACACCGTAGTTGTGCGCTTAAAATAAAAAAAAAAGAAAAAAAAAGCGATCAGCCTCCTCTCACTGCTGGGATATTCAAGAAGGAAACTTCTTTCATTTCTTTTGCATTATAGGTATGGAAAAGACCAATCTAATTGTGATTTTGTCGACGTTCCTTGCTTTTTTCCCCTTATCTCGTTTCACTTTTCTTTCCATTTCACTTCAATAATATAAACATCGTCAATATAATTCTAATTCAAAAGAAAGTCCATCCTCTTTCATCATTTTTATCCCTCCTGCTGTTCATTTCAGCATTCATAGTTAAAATAATGTAAAAAAAAAAGAAATCTATTTTAAATTCATTTATTAAAATGCAGAGCACAAGATATCTTTCATTCATTTCTTGTAAAATAATGCCATTGAGAGTGTGGTAATAAAACATTGATTATAGATAAGTAAAATTTATATATTTATTTATAATTAATTAGTTTTTTTTGAACTATTTAAATTAGTTATATAAATTATGATTTTTAATTAATTAAATATAGAAACGAAAAATGAATTCTATACTCTCTAAATTCAAATTAGTGAGAATTCGTTCAATAGTTTAAATTAGTAAAACTATCTACTAATTTTTAGTTATTTTTTATTTACAAAACTTTAGTTTTAAAAAATATTACTAAATGAAATTGTAATATTTTACTAAAAATTCGTGAATATTTTAACTAATTTTTAGTCATTTTTCACTGAAACTTAAGTAAAAAAAAATATTACTACTCTCTAAATTTGAATTAGTGACACACTTTTTGTTTTCGAATTAGTACTCTCTAAATTTGAATTAGTAAAAATTTTAACTAATTTGAATTAGTGACTCACTTTTTGCTATTGAATTAGTAAAATTTTACTAATTATTAGTAACTTTGACTAATAATTAGTGAAATTTAACTAATTCAATAGCAAAAAGTGAGTCACTAATTCAAATTAGTAAAAATTTTCACTAATTCAGATTTAGAGAGTAAAATTTAACTAATTCAAAAAATGAGTCACTGATTCAAATTCATTAAAAATTTTACTAACATAAATTTAGAGAGTAAATAAAATTGTAATATTTTACTAAAAATTAGTAAAAAATTTTAACAAATTTGAATTAGTGACTAAGTTTTTGCTTTTGAATTAAAAAAAAATTTAACTAATTGGATAGTCAAAAAATTTTTTTTAATATTAATTAGTTAAAATTTACAAATTCGATATTAATATTGTTTTTACTATTAATAAGTTAAATTTTTACAAATTCGACAGTAAAAAAATTCAGATACAACAAGTGAGGCACTAATTCAAATTAATTAAAAATTTTACTAATTCAAATGTAGCGAATAAATCAAATAGTAATATTTTACTAAAAAATAAATGAAAATGTTTACTAATTTTTAGTAAGTTTATATTTACTAAAACTTTAGTAAAAAATATTACTAATTCAAATATTTTACTAAAAATTAGTAAACATTTTAACTAATTTGTATTAGTGACTTACTTTTTGCTTTTAAATTAATAAAATTTAACTAATTAATAATGAAACAAATTTTTTTACTATCTAATTTGTAAAATTTAACTAATTAATAGTAAAAAAAATATTACTAACGAATTTTTTACATTTAACTAATTCAAAAACAAAAAGTAAGACACTAATATTCAAATTAGTAAAAATTTGCACAAATTCAAATTTAGAGAGTAATGGATTAAGTAAAATATAAATAAATGAATTAATTAATCATTAAAATTTTCAGTAGATTACTTTTTTTTAGAATCAAATTTATATTTAGTTAAAAAATTCGTTCAAGCAAAAATTTTTATTAATAAAAATTCGGTTATAAAAATTTTTGGCAAAATAAAAATGATTCTTTATGAAAATTCAAGATATCGAAAAGTATCGTAGATAAAAAGATATCGACTAAAAATGGACTTCCTTTCTTTTTTTTTTGGGGTAAAAAAAAAAAAAAAAAAAAGAAAAAACTAGAGAACGGAGAAAAGTGCAATTTTCCCCGGTTGATATTGAAAATTTGTGCACTATTGGGTTTAAAGGAACGTCAGAAAGTAAGCCTTGGGAGCCGTTTCGTGAAGGGATTGGATCAGAGATGTCTCTTTTATGTTTATGCAAATGTTTACATCCCCTTGGCAAGATAGAATCCGTGGTTACTGTAGAGAACGAGGCGAACGGAAGGCAGTCAGCAACATGTTAAGAAGGTACTTCCGTGGGTCTCTCTCTCTCTCTCTCTCTCTCTCCGATCTTCGTTGTGTTGTCATTTTACGTGGCCCTTTTTGGCGGAGCGTTAAGCACACGGAAGTGCTTTGCATTCTAAGTCATATCCGGAATCTGATGCTAGGTGCGCGCGCGAAAAACTTTCTTTGTCATTTTTATACGATGGTCCACAATCGTTTGACGAACGATTTTATACGAATCACAATATAAATATTTCATCACTTTTTCTAACCCGTAATCTCACTTTTCCCTATCATTCGAAGAATTCATTTTACTCCTTCTTTCTTTTTTTTTCATTTATAATACCCGACATGATTCATTCCATCCTTGGAGATTTATTCATTTTAATCGGGAAAGGAAAAAAAAAAATGAAAGAATTGATACGCTTTCTCTCTAATAGAAATTATGTAAATCCCAAGATACTATACTAGGTAGAGGAAATTTAAAAAGATTTTCTTTTAATCATTTCAAACCCTTAAAGTTTTCTTTGTGATTTTTCATTATATAATTGATTTAGTAAAAAAAGAAAAGGGGATTTTGAAAAAATATTCTTTTTTTAACAGGTCTCTCACTTGGAGGTGGTTTGATAGTACTAGCATCTGCCTTATCGGACGCATCATTAGAATTGCCTCGAAAATATACTTTCTCAACAAGTAGAAGTCATTCGGATGATAATGGACTACCTCAATATCAATATGGTTGGTGCCTTCAATTATCCGGACTTGCATTGATATTGGCTGAACTTGCTGCCCTCTTAACTGTCTCCGGATACATGGCTCGATTTCCAACTGTCGAAGATATGGTAAATATTTCGTTGGATATTTTAAATATTTTTAATTCAAAATATTTTAAATTTACTAATTAGCAATAAATTTCAAAATTTCAAAACCAAATTACAAGAGGAAATAAAAAAAATTGTGATTGATCAAAAAAGAGCTTATAATAATTAAGCGGATGAATAGTTCTATAATTTAATTATATTATATATTCAATGAAGGATTACGTGGAAGGTTACTCATTGAATTGAGTATTGTAACCTTTAGATAAATAATCCTTTAGTTTAAGATAGTTTGCCTAACATTGTTATTCTTGTTCTATATATAGGTAAGAGTAATGGTTCCCGGTGCAGAAAGGAAGTTGAGGGAGCAACGTGGCCTCAGTTCAGAGTACCTCGTCAGAACCCATCAGAAATCACCCGGTCCACCACAGAGTCGAGGGTTTACTCAACCTGAGAAAGGTGAGGGTAAGCACGGAAACTCCTAGATTGATGACATACCACGTAGAGTGGTTTTACTTGGAATTTAGACTATTCATCAAGTCCCAATGTTTGGGAGAGAACGCGAATCATGCAAATTTCTTTTAATTCAAATTTCAAAATCAATTTCTTTCATAATTAATTAATTATTCATCAAAAATTTATTGCTAGCCTCCCACCCCCCCTCCCCACTTCAACAAATGTTAATTTCCAAAATACAGAAATTTATTAGTACTAAATATTGAATTAATTAAAAATCACTAATTAATTTTAACTTCCTAATTAAAAATACCATCGAAGCTAAATTTTCCCTTATTAACAGCAAGCGAAAACTGCTTATTATTATTATTATTATTAATAAACAAAATTTTAATATTTCATACCTAAATTTTCAAGCGAAAATTGTTTCATTAATAAAACAAATTTTTCCCATAGATATAATAATTGCAAAATTCTCCCGAGAATAAAAAAATATTTGCAATAGAATTTACGAATAATGTGGAAAATAAAATTGTTTTTTTTTTTTTTAAACAGGTGCGCAAAAAGTAGCAGAGGAAGGAACTTCCTTATTGTGTAAATCAGCGCCTGATATATGCGCTTCAAATCCACAGTCGATAAGTTATGTGGATAAAGCAGATCTCTCGCATATGTTACCCGCTTATCCAGAGGGTAAAATTCCTGATCCAAGATTCACATTTGTTGATAAGGCAGATCAGAGTGTTGTCGATTCACGTTTAAGTGGCTTTGCTGATAAGGAAGGTCTCATGGATTCGCGCATGTTATCAGAATCAAGACAAAATATTATAACATTCAGCGAAAGTAAAGAACATCAAAGTGGACAAGAGCCGAGGTTTACAGAATTTGCCGGTAGAGTTGAACAAGCGACAATTATCGATCCTAGAGTTAGTTTCAGTGATAAGGAAGGTTATCCAATTTATGCCGATAAAGGAGAATCCCTACTTGACACATCGTTTGGTTATGATACCAGGTATAATTTTAAAAATACTAGCAATTTTTTTTTCCAATTATAGAGATAATTAAAATTATAATAAATAACTAAAATATTATTATTAGAAAAAAAGGGGGCAAGAAAAATACAGAATTGTCAAATTTTCTGTTATAAATCTAAAGGTGATGAATATTTCAAATTACTCTGATTCGAAAAGAGAGACATTTATATAATCTTGTAGATTAGCACCTGATTGAAGATACGAATCTCTTTACCTTCGAGCCGTCTTTTCATAATTATGCCGTGTGTGTACAACTTATAAAAAAAAAATTAAATTATCAATATTATAAATTGCCCGACTGTTTTAAATAAAATAAATACAGATGCGGGTCCAATTGATCCGTAATTATTACATTATTGTGTCAAATCTTGATTGTCAATTTGATCATCAGATAAAGGAATAGTAATTATTCAAAAGAAAAAAAAAAACTTCTATCGTATATAGTTTTGCAATAAATCTTCTCCCTCCTCTTATTTTTGCCTTTTATATCTCTTATTTATATGAGGGTATGCGAGCGCATCTTTATCTGATCATCAAGTAACTGCTTCTTTATGCTACAAATTGTCCTGCGGCGCGTCAAAATTCGCCCCAACCCTTGCCATAATATTTAGATAAAAAAATTTCATTAAATCGAATAATAAACTAATAAGTAATTAATTATTAATAAAATAATAATAAAAATTGTTTTACTTACAGATACAATAGTCTCGCTGGTCAAACAGTGCCAATCACATTGAAGCATCAGGCAACATCAGTATCTGCAATACAACCACAATATATTTATCAAAATTTTGGTACAATACATTCGGGAATGTTAAGAGTGTCAGAACCGGGAACAAGTTCAAGTTCAAATTCAAGTTTACGTAGTATGACATTGCAAAATCCAAAAAGAAAATCACAAATTGCACAAAATACATTTAGCACAATGGAATGTGAAAAAAGAAAAAGGGCCCCGGGACTTGGTTTTTATAGTGGTAGCGCTGTATGACCACCACCTCCTCCTCCAACTCCAAGGTAACTCCAGGAAGATGAGACACCACTCTAGTTGACATTTTCAAACAAAATTCTCTAATGTCAAACTAGATTTTTTGGAAGTTGAGGAGGAAATTTTGTTTTCAATGATCAAAAAAAAATTTTCTAAAAAAAAAAAAAACCATTTACATTTCTTCTGTAATGTAAAATTTGCGCGACAAAAAAAAATTGTTGTAATATGTAAATAAAAAAAGTTACTCGCAGAAAATGAAAGAGATATATGAAAATTATCTCTCATTTGGAGAAGAAAGCTTTGCCTGTTTTAATATTGTTGTTTACAATAAGATGAAACAGTTTGAATGTGAAAAAAATGTTGAATGAACTTGTATAAAAATAAATAAATAAATGCCATGTGAAACAATCAGAATCACTTTAAAGCGGCAGATGAATGATTTTGTTTATAAAAAAAAAAAAAAAAAATTGTGAACTAACCTAAATTATTTTAGGCTTTTAAAATTTTTTAACTTTTCGTAAAGCAGAAAAACATTTTTAAAAACTAAAAAAAAATATACACAAATTTTTCAATTAAAAAAAGGGTTTTAAAAAGAAATAAAACATTTTTAAAAAAATTTACCGAAAACAAATTTACAAAAGCTCAAAAAAGGTTTAAAAAATATTGTCAAACTTTTTATTTAAAAAAAAAGACAAAAGAAATTGTTTGGAAATTGTTTATGAATAAAAAATCTGTCAAATTAAAGCTTAAGATTCACAGTTAAACTTAAAATCTAAATAAAAAGAATTTCTCACTTGTATAGCTAATCGAACGAAGTTTAAATGATATTAAATGATAGATATGTAGTTTTCGTCATGGAAATATAATTTAGCGAGTCGTCATTAATAACAATAAAATTGAGATGCTGTTTCACTCTCTCACTCTCTATCTCTATCTCTATTTCTCTCTCTATCTTTCTGTCTACATGTGTCGAGAAAAAAGAATTACGACTCTTGTACAAAGTTCTTCGATCTGTATCTTTAATACTTCGCCAATCCTGGACATATCAAATTGAATAAAAAAGAAAGAAACATGAAAGTCTACAATAAAGTTTACAAAATTTACTATTATATATATATATAACCTAACCTCCGTTACTACAGTGAAAAAAAAATTTATTTGATTCAAATACCGGTGTATTTGGTTATTATCAAATAAATATTTACTTGAATCAAATAAATGGTATTTGCTTCAAATACTAAAATATTTGATTCAAGTAAATATTTATTTGATAATAACCAAATACACCGGTATTTGAATCAAATAAATTTTTTTTTTCAGTGTATATTTAATAAATTCAATTTTGTTTTTCAGTTGAAAAAATTTTCATAGACAAGATTTCCTCTTTCTATTTTTATAAATAATATTAAAAACTATTATGTTTTTTTTTATTACATACAAATAATGTTACTATTACTTTTAAGTAGTAAAAATTTTCATAGTCAGACAAGATTTTCTTTTTCTGTTTTTATAAATAATATTAAAATGTTAATAAAAATTGTTCTCGGAAATAGTTAAATTAAACAGTTTCTATTTTATTATTAAAGTTTCAATTAAGTAGTAACAGCTGTTATAGTCAGACACAAAAATTAATATTTAATTACTAATTCTGGTTATAAATATTGATTTTAATTTTCCTTTATGTATTTATTTACAATTGTGTAATTATACCGTTTTTATGTTGCTAATAATAGTTTCAGTAGAAAAAATTGTACAAGTCAGACAAGATTACTTATTATTTCTACTATATTTGAATTTTTTTAGTACAAATTCAAGTATCAGTTTTGTTATTTCAGTTTTTTTTTAAATTCTTTAATAATTTCTAAGTGGAAAAAACTTTCAGACAAAGATTGTCTCACAAATGTTGACATTAACTTTTAATTTATTATTTTATGGAAAAATTAGTTTTCCGTTTAGTAATTTGTTCTAATAAACAAAAACTTTTAATTAATTTTAATTTTCACGTAGAAAATCTTTCATAGTCATAAAAGGTATAAAATTTTATATTAGATTTTAGAATTTTTATTCTGAGTAATAAATTATTATTTTGATACAAAGAATTTGTTTCTAAGTAGTAACAATTGTCGCATAGTCAGACTAAAAAGTAATATTTATATTAAATTTTTTATTTACATTTTGCTATCAATTTTTTATATAGGTACAATTCTTTTTAAGTAGAAAAATCTGCATTAGTCAGACAAGATTAGTTTATTTATGTTATCTTAATTTTTTTCAATAGCTGCGTATAAATAACTTATTTTTTTGTTACAAAAATAAATTTCTGTCAGTAGAAAAATCTGGATTTAGTCAGACAATAAAAATTTCTAAGATTACTAATAAATTTTACGATATAAAATATTTTATAAAACAAAATTTTTCAAGAAATTCATTACTATATAATTGCTATTTTCCTGTTTATACTAAAATGAAGCTAGATGGCGCCAGTAGTACCGGAAGGAACTTGTGTCTAGTTCCGTCGGATGGTAACAGATTGCCCTCCTAATGTTTCATTAACGTAACATAATGGGGAGACCAATTAGCGTGCAGCGTTTAATATTAATCCGCAATTTGAATTCATTTCAATGCATTTAAAATTTATTGAAAACATAATTAACATGCCTCATACCTATGCAACGAAATTCTCAATTCCCCGAGCATTGAAAATCGTTAAAATTTTAATGAATAAATTTTTTACAATTTTTGAAAAAAAAAAAGAAATTGAAAAAATTTATTTCAACCGAATGGAAAAAATATTCACTTCTACGATAAATTTAAATTTAACAAGAAATTTGTTTTTTTTTTAAATTTACCTTTTAAATTTTCCGTCAACTTATTAAATAAATAATTTTGTTTAATCGTAACATTAATTTAGTATTCACTACTTTGAATAAATTAAATTACGTAATTTCAATTTAATTCATCAGTTAAACCTGGTTAAGTGAGACATTTTCTTATTGTCTAAGTTAGACAGGTTTGAGTGTAATTTGAAAATAGATTTTAATGGATATATACATTTTTTGATATACATAGTATTATTTTTCAATTTTGTGTTTTAACTAAATTATTATTTTAACTTTTAATTAAAAATTTTTTAAATTCAAAATTTCTCTCGGTTTTCATTTCGACCTTCTTTTAATCGTTCTCTCTCGCTCTCTTCTATATATATATATATAATCCTTTTCACTCCCTTCTTTCTATCTCACACATTTCCTGTCTTTCTCTCACTCTCACTGTTTCCGCAGGTCATTGAGAATCTCTCTTTCTCTCTCTAATCCAATTAAAAACGTCGGACGATCGCATGAAACAGCGGCGCGCATCGACCGCGAGTTGCACGTCGCACGAGCGAATTTTAATTGATGTTTCAGGTAACAAGGGAGAAGGAGGAGTAGAATTTGTGCTATATTCAGAAAAAAAGGAGGAAGAAGAGAAAAATTTTGTTGGAATGCTTGGCTTTTCTCGTATAATATATATATCTAATGAAACGCGAGGTCACAACTATTATTATATAATCTCAAGTTTGCGCGCGTTTTCTGTAAAATCACACATGTATGCGAGGGAAAACACAAAGGGGCGTGTTAATGAAAATCAGAGATTAAATATAATTACACGAAACGCACAAGTTAATAATTGTATTTCACATACACACTACAAACGATATATATAATTAGACATCTTGATGATACATTTATGATTTAAAATGAATTTCTATTATTATGGAATATTCAATGAAATATATAATTTATGTAAAAATAATATTAATAATTAAAATAATAATAATAATTATTATTATTATAATGATAGTAATAATAATGGTAATGGTTATAGCAATAGAAATAATAATAGAAAAAACATATAAAATAAATTTTTTATAAATATGAAAAAGAAATATATAAAATTAGCTTATTAATAATAATTCATAAAGTCAAGGTAGCGTGAAAAATGTAAGATTCATCTTTTTTTATATACGAATATATTATGTATATTTAACTGAATATTAAATCTTATAAAAATAATCAAATATGCAATCTGATTATTAAAATAATCAAATATTCAATCTATGAAAATAATCCAATATTTAATATATGTTGATCTTTTGAAATATATATATACATGACATGATTGTTAATTATACAAAATTAAGCGAAATTTAATGCGATTCAAATTAATTCGAATTTAATTTTCGTCTTTCTTTGGAAAATATTAATATATATATTTCCAATTCAAATTTGCTTTTTTTGTATTAATTTTTCTTTATTTATTTTTAAGCAATATTGTGTAAAAAAAATTGATTCTCCTTTAAATCTACACTATATAAGTAAAAAAAAATTTATAAAATGAAATAAATAGAAATAAATATTAATAGAATAATAAAAAATTAAATCAAAATTGAAATAAAATTGAAATAAAAATTAACAATAAATATTAATAATTCAAAATTTTTAGGACAGTTTTTTCCTCACTTACTAATTAAAATTAGTAAGAATTTTTTTACTAATTTTTAGTCACTTTTAACTAAAAATTTAGTAAAAAAAAATTTTTAACTACTAAATCAAAACAGTTTTTACTATTTAGTAAAAATTCTCACCAATGTAAATTAGTGGCTCACTATTCACTAATTAAAATTTAGAGAGTAAAAAATGAATAAAAATAAATAAATAAAAATTGTCCCAAGAATAAATAATTACATAAAAATTAAGATAGCTTTTAATTAATATTTCTCATCATCTTTCGCGCAGGTGAATGGAAATAATTGACGAGAATTTAATTAAATTTCCATTATTATTTTTTGCCGTTTTGTTTGATCTTGTCTCAGGTTGGGTAACGAGTAAATCTAATTCGACAAAGACTAAATAAGTACATACATATATAGATCGAAACGTAGATGAAGAATACTTGTATATATATATATAGAGGGCACACGGACGCTTAATCCTTATGGTCATCTATCATCGCGGAGTATACTAGTTAGTCGATTCTATCTTACCGCCTTTTTTACGCGCCCCGAGTCCCGTCTCCTTTTGTTACCTTGTTTAATAACTTGTGATGAATGTACCTCGTACCGCGCGTTTCCATCTCTCACACACACACATATAGCACTCTCAGAAGCATTCGCGCAAACCTCTCAAGGGTCGCCCTTCTCTCTCTCTCTCTCTCTATACCGTTTTCTCATCTCTCCGTGCGGCGTCGTCCCGTTCCTCTCGCAAATTAAAATCGTAAATTTATCATTTCCACTCTAATTCATTCCACTTCGTTATATATATATTTTATAATTTCATACTCAACATAATATATTATTATCGACTTGGAAATATATGTTACATTCCATCTTCCTCCGGGTCCAGTTTGGAAGAAAAAAAAATTAGTTAACGAAATATGCATGCGTGTGTGAGAGATTTCTATCAGAGACGAATTTATTAGTGTTGAAAATACTTTTGCGATTAATTTGAAAAATATGGTACAAATTTTGGATCATCTGATAATATTTTCCCTGTGTCTTAATATGTTACTGGTGATAATTCTTTATTTTTACTTTCATAAATAAATATTACAGTAAAAAGTAAATTTTATTTTTAATAATTCGATTATGTAAATCCACTTCCACTGCTAATTCCACTATTTTACAATTTCTACTCGTATTTCTATTTCTACTTTCTTTTTTTTCTAATTACTACACCCATTTCAATTTCCTCTTCTACTTTTTCTAATTTTCATTCCTACTTCCATTTCCACTTTTTCCAATTTCTATTTTCATTTTTTCCAATTTTCCATTTCCACTTTTTCTAATTTTAACTCCTATTTTTTTCAATTTCTACTTCCATTTCCACTTTTAATTTTCTTTTAATTGGAAAAAGTCAAAGTGGAAGTGGAAGTGGAAGTGGAAGTGGAAATTATGAGAGAAGCAGACGCATTTGGCGCCTCAATGGCAGGGTTTTGTGCGGCTTGATAACGGTTGCCATGGTAAAGATTGCTATGGAAAAGGTTACTATGGATACGGTTACTATGAAAACGGTTGATATGGCAACCACAGAAGTGTACAACGGACGGACCCCAAAAAGAAACT